GCCTTATTCGTAGGCGTTATGCCTTCTTATTAATAAGGTTAATAGTCTATTAATTATCGTAGTGTAGCTATAGCTGTTATTGGTCTAGCCGAAGCTCTAAATCTCTTAATATCCGGCTAACGAATAGCGTCTCCTTAGCTACCTCGGTAAGAGCGAGTAGTTCCGACTTTGTTAACGACGTTATAACCGTCGGTTATTTGCCCGCCTTTTAGTTAACGGTGCCGCCGAAAAGCTTTATCGTATATCCTTACGAGCTCTTACGGTCTGGATTATCCCTAAAGGACGCGTTGTTTACTATTAGGAAGAGTCTATCTCCACCGAATTCTAAGTAGTGGTATCTTATATAGTATAGGAATAGTAGCATTTATTAAGCCTTTTTAAGGTGGTTAGAGGAGGGGTTAACGTTATATTAGGTAAGCTTTAAGTAGGCGAACGCGATATCGGGTCTTATCACGATAGCGGCATATAGGATAGAACCGATTATTCCCTGATACTAACGGACCTCGGGAATCGACGCGCGGGTGCTATCTCGGGGTATTACCGGCTCTATAGATAATAGGACTTTTAGTGGTTTTCGGTAGAGTATATCTGCGTAGTATTTAACCGCGATCTTCTCCACGTAGGAGGATTATAACAGCTATAACCTACGGGTGGCTTTATCCCTTAGGACCTTAATTCCCAGGAACTAACGGATTTCTTCGCCTCCTAATAACCTATAGCTTCGCTTAAGGGAAGCCTCGAGGTCGTCGGCGTCCGTCTTACGGTCTTTATAGTATATAAGTCCGATATCGTTAACGTAGAAGAATAGGATTAAACCGTCGCGGATTATAATATAGAGGTTATTAAGGACGGCTATAAAGCCTATCCTCTATAGCGTGCCGCTAAATTCCTTTTATTATAGTAATAGTAATGCCCTTAAACCGAAGAGGGCTTTCCGTAGTAGTAGGACCTTACCTAGTACTTCGTAGCCTTACGGTATCTTTATAAATACCTCTTCCTTAAGGCTAGCGTTAACGAACGCGTTAACAGTATCAAACTACCTTATCTCTAGGTTAAATCGGGCGGTGATCGCTATTAGTATACAGAAAGACCGCGAGGCTAGCGTTACGGCGTAGTTATCTTTAGTCTCTAACCGTTTTTATTAATCCTCTCGGACTATAAGGCGTGCCTTATACTTAAGGAGGGTGCCCTCCTTATTAAATTTATAGGTATATACCTATCTACAGGCGAGGACTTATTACTTATTAGCCTAATTACTACCTACCTCCTACTAGTAGCCTATCTATCGGTGCCCTTTAAGGTATTCCCCCTCGGCCTATAACCACCGCTCCCGTAACGGGTAAAGGCGTATATCGCGGTAGTACTTTAGTAGAGGCGGGAGATCCTTACGGGTTATATACAATAGCAGCTAAGAGGTATTAGAGGGAGTAGAATCTATAGCACCGACGTCGCCGTCGTTAATAGCTTACTTCCTCGCACGTATAGGGTTATAAGTCCTGCTAGCGTTAAAGAACGCCTTTTAGGCGTTATCGTTCTAGACCTTCTCGGTTATATATAGACTTATGATAGTTCTCGCGATAGATAGGCGCGCGGCCGATAGGCGTGCGGCTGATAGGCACCCCCTAGGGGCATCCGCGGCTATCCGTTAGTGGTTATCATGTTCTTCTACCTTAATTCCCCTAACCACCGCTAACGCTATAAGGAACACGCGTGCGGGATCTTCCGGGGATATTAAAGGCGTGGGAAACGGTTTAAACCTCGTAGTAATAAACCGTGAAGTGTCCATAGTAATAACGGTAGCCTCTCTCGTAGTAATAGCGGTAGCCTCTCCCGTAGTAATAGCGGTGGCGTTAGAGTTATAAGGTTCTAAATTTATAGCCTAGTTATTAGGCTATAGATTTAGAACCTCGTCTATAGTAATAGTAGTAGCCTCTCTTATAGTAATAACGACGGCCTCGCCTTCGTCCGTAGTAATAGCGGTGGTATAGTCTTCTCCTACAGTAATAGCAGTATCCGTAGTAATAGCGGTGCCCGTAGTAATAGCGGTATAGTCTATAGTAATAGTAGTAGCCTCTCTCGTAGTAATAGCGATAGCCTCGCCTTTATCTGTAGTAATAGCGGTGGCGTCGTTTTTACTCGTAGTAATAGCGGTAGCGTTAGAGTCTTCCGACTTAAGATCTAATACGTCTACGGCTATACCCCTTAATAGCAGCCTATTCGCGGTCTTATTAGATTAGGTGATACGGATAGATTATAGA